GGATAGACCCTCCAAGGGGATATGTCTGATGGCCCCTCCAGCTGAGATTTCCGTTGCTAAGGAGGTAGCAGGAACAGCCTGTTCTCTGGGCTCTCATCAGAACAACCATGCCCAGGCCCCTCCCTCTCTCCCTCCGTCTCTCCTCCCTTCCTTCCAGACTGTTGCTAGGAAGCACCCCAAGATTTCTTGAGGATACGACCCCTAGGAACCAAGGTATCCAGATATTTTTCTGAAGAGGTTTTTTTCAAAGTCTGACAGCTAAAACTCCACACAGCATCCTCTACCCCTGCTCAAAAGCCTTACACATCTCTAGCAGTTCGGGGAAACAGGAGACAGCCACCATGGAACAAGCTCTGTGGCCTGGACCTCAGTAAATCCCCTCCTCTATCTCATCTTGACCTCCTGGACCCTAGGTCGGCAAGTGATGACATGTCCAGCATATACCTCTAGACTCTGCAGACAGAGCTGAACTTATTGGGGGTGCTCTGGAAAGACAGCAGAGGAAACTGAGGTACTACCAGCCAAGAGAACTCAAAGCTCAGATGTTTCTCCCTCCTAGGGGTTTCCCAATCAAAAAGAGTGGTGCAAATGGAGGAAAGAAAGTTGGAGAGCAGGCTGCGCAAGGTGGCTGACATCACCAGTACTTTGGGAGGCTGAGGTGGAAGGATCTCTTCAGGTCAGGAGTTCAAGACCATCCTGGGTAGCATAGTGAGACCCCCATCTCAAAAAAAAAAAACCCACAAATTATCTGGGTGTTGTGGTGCGGACCGTCAGTCCTGGCTACTTGGGAGGCTGAGGCAGAAGATGAGAGATTGGCAAATTAGCAATTACCCTGGTAAAAGAAAGTAGCCACTTAATTCTCCTCTTTGTCCCATCAGGTGCTCTTGCTATAGGTCACAAAAGAGGGAGCCAGGGAAGGGATCAGGCCTGGCTGAGCCTTGCTTTTGGTAGCTGAAATGAGAAATGGAAAAAGAAGCTGACACCTTTTCCAGGCTGTCTTCCAGGGTTTCTCCTACTTTTATTCATTAATCTGACTTTTTTTTTTTTTTAAATGGAGTCTCGCTCTGTTGCCCAGGCTGGAGTGTAGTGGCGCAATCTTGGCTCACTGAAAGCTCACCTCCCGGGTTCACGCCATTCTCCTGCCTCAGTCTCCCGAGTAGCTGGGACTACAGGCGCCCACCACAACGCCCAGCTAATTTTTGTATTTTTAGTAGAGATGGGCTTTCACCGTGTTAGCCAGGATGGTCTTGATCCCCTGACCTTGTGATCTGCACACCTCGGCCTCCCAAAGTGCTAGAATTACAGGCGTGAGCCACCGCACCCAGCCTGACACTTTTTTTTTTTTTAAAGCATTTAATATGTGCCAAGTATTAGATTCCCCAAATGCTCCCAGCTTCTGGTAGAGTCTTTGTCAACAGGAGAGAGGAGAGGAGGGGGAGCAGGGAAGTCTCCTTTACCATCAGAGTTTGGGGCTTACTTTTCTGCAGCTCTCCCCCTCCAGTTAAAGGAGGGGATAGGGCAGTATGATATGGAAGCCAAAAGTATGAAGCAGAGCACCTGTCAGGGCCTGGAGGGAGGGGCCATGCAAAGGAAATGGCAGGCTGGCCTCCCTTCCCAGCCACTGTCCGGTCTGGGCCTCAGGATCACAGCACCTCTCTTCTCTGTGCTGGGAGTATGGAGGGGGAAGGCATCCTCCAGGGTGTTAGAGGGGAAGCTATTCCAAGAGTTGATTCAAATTCTGCCTTTCACTCTCCTGGGGCAGCGGGAAGACAGAGACAGGCAACTGCGGGGGATCCAGGGGTTGTCCCTGAGTTCCTGAGGTGCAGCCACCTTACAGGCCTCTTTCCCGTCATCCCCTCCCCCAGATAGACGGAAAGCAGGGATTTTGATTTGGTGACTGGTATGAGGAGGAAACTGGTTTGGAGCCAGCTGTGTATAAGTGTGTGGGAGTGACTGACTTTCTTTTCCCATCCACCTGCTGCCCATAGTGGGGGGACCCAGGCAAGCTTCCAGAGGAAAATGTTCCACTTAAGGAAAAGGAATGACTCAGTTTCCCTATAGAGAGAAGGGAAGCTGACACCCTCTGTGCCTTGTATGCTTACCAACGATTTCGGTGTTTCTGGGTTTTTGGGTCTGGACTCTTGCCACTTTTCTTTATACTGTTTTCTAGCCTAGATAGATAAGGAATGTTCCCTTCCCCTTGGGTACCCAGAACCCTGTTCCTCGCCACCTCTTACCCCACTCTGGCCTAGCTGCTTTTCTGACACTTCTCCAGGGTTGCCATGTCACTCTGACTGGTTGACTTCCACCTGCCCCTCTTCTCTCTTTAGCCAAGGTAGCCAACAAGATGAACAAAGAGGTTGGGGCTCGGGACTAGGAGGGCAGAGGTGGGAGCTCAGCCCCTGTCCCTGTTGAGAGGAAATGAACAGCAAAAGAAAGTGGGGTAAGTAGAACGGGGCTTTGAGATGGGCTGGGGGGGCTATTTTTTTTTTTTTTTAAGACAGAATTTCGCTCTTGTTGCCCAGGTTGGAGTGCAATGGTGCAATCTCGGCTTACAGCAACTTCTGCCTCCTGGGTTCAAGCAATTCTCCTACCTCCTGGGTTCAAGCAATTCTCCTACCTCCATCTCCCGAGCAGCTGGGATTACAGGCATGCGCCACCATGCCCGGCTAATTTTGTATTTTTAGTAGATACAGTTTCTCCATGTTGGTCAGGCTGGTCTTGAACTCCCAACCCCAGGTGATCTGCCTGCCTTGGCCTCCCTAAGTGCTGGGATTACAGGCGTGAGCTACTGCGCCTGGCTGGGGGGCTATTTATTCGTACACCCAAAGGAAATGTTAGCATCTCTCTTCACCCTTTGGAGGATTATCATGGAGTCCTGTGCTTGCAGTGAGCCAGAGAGCCCAAGGGGGTCCCTAGGAAGATATTGTGGTGTGGAAGGAAGAGGTGGTATAGGAAAGGTTGCCTCTGATGTTTACAGACTGGAGAGGCAGGGAGGTCAAAAGGGATAAATTAAAAATGGTCCTTGCCCAGAACTAAGGGAGCCCTTGTACATAGGAGTCCAGCCTTTGGGGAAACCTTGCCAAGCCTAGAGAAAGGGCTGCTGGTGGGAGGTGGGGAGACAGAGAAGGCAGATGGCCTGACTACAAAAGCCGCCTCCCTGTCACTGCGAAGTGGGGAGGAGGCACCTCCCTAGAAATCTGCCAGGCTCCCTGCCAGAGGGAATAGTTTGAGCTCAAAATATCACCATCCTCAGGGCCCAAATAGTTCCCAGTCCTGTGTGGACTGGACACACAGTTGACAGCTTCTCTCCAAGAGAAGCAGTTTGGGCTCTAAGGTATGTGACAGGGGCTCCAGGATGATCCAGGAATGGCTCCAGGTGGAGGGCCTTAGGATGCGGCAACAAGAACAGAATGACAGCAGGGGAGCAGGCAAAGGTAGAGTGAGGGGCTGGGAGAAGAGGGGAAGTCAGATACATGAGAAACTGAGGAGAAGCAGGGTTTGTGGCAGTCTCAAGTATGAGTGGAGTGGCCGGGGGCCATATGGAAGGTGAGGTGAGGAATCCATATTCTCCCTCCTTCCTGCTTTAGAAGCTTTGGCAACATATATTTGGCAGCTGTTTTGTATACACACTATTCCCCAGTGGTGTCCCTTGGGCAGGCACAAAGGGAGCCTAAGGGAGGGGTGTGGATTGAATGTATGGGGAGGAAGAAAAGCCATAGGCAGTACCAACCGCAGAGGGACATGATCTGACCCTCCTTCAGCCACACTCTCCCCTTTGGAACAGAAGTCCTTGACTCCCTGTCTAGACCGTGCTCCAGACACCCAGGGTGCTGTAATTCTCTGCCCAAATGGCCAGTTTTACTTCCAGAGCCTTAAATGGGCTGCTCTTCCAGATTTATCCCCCCAAGGACTGATTTTGCCACTCAAAGGGAGAGCAAAGAATGGTTGTCGAAGGCTGGGCACGGTGGCTCATGCCTATAATCCCAGCACTCTGGAAGGCTGAGGTGGGTGGATCACCTGAGGTCAGGATTTTGAGACCAGCCTGACCAACATGGTGAAACCCCATCTCTACTAAAAATACAAAAATTAGCCTGACGTGGTGGTACATGCCTGTAATTCCAGCTACTTGGGAGGCTGAGGCAGAAGAATCGCTTGAACCTGGGAGGCAGAGGTTGCGGTGAGCTGAGATTGCAGTGAGCTCAAAAAAAAAAAAAAAAAAAAAAAGGAAAAAAAAAGAATCGTTTTTGGGGAATACGGATTGAGCTTGAACTTGTGAACTAGGATATTGGGCCCTGGCTAAAGGCCTCCATGTTTATTTATTTATTTTTTTGGTAGAGCTGAGAGTCTCATTATGTTGCCCAGGCTGGATTTGAACTCCTGAGCTCAAGTGATCCTCCTGCCTCAGCCTCTCGAGTAATTTACTCTTATTCCTGGTTGTAAATGTTAGGGATGACCAGTCCATAGTATGGGGAGGGATGAGGGCTATGCATAAGAAGGCTCAGACATTGGAGCCAGAGGTGGGTAACATTTGCTTTTGGCTTTCTCACTAGGGGAAGGAAAGGCTATGGCCAAGGCCCTGGGCATAATAATTGGATATTATTATTTATGGATCTTTGGGATAAGCAAGATTTAAACAACAACAACAACAACAACAAGAAACTTAAGAAAATAGTTTTTAATTTACAGGAAAAAAATGGAAGGTAATAGAGGGTCCCCACATATTCTGCACCCAATTTCTCTTTTAATTAACATCTTAGCATTAGTATGATGCATTTGTAACAACTAATGAACTAATACTGATACATTATTATTAATTAAAGTCCATGCTTTATTTAGATTTCCTTAGTTTTTACCCAGTATTCTTTTTCTCTTCCATGATTGCATTCAGAAAATCACATTACATTTAGTCATCAGGTTTCCTTAGCCCTCTTAGCTGTGACAGTTTCTCAGAATTCCTTTGATTTTGATCACCTTCACCTTAGTTTCTCCTTTACTTTCCCTTGTATCCAAGCTGTTTGGAGGGCTTGGAGATGCTGATAGGACTGTCAGATTCGGGGGTGGTGATATGTGTGCAAGTAAGGCACCTTAGTGTCGCTTTTAGAATATAGGTGTGGAAATGAGAATAGCTCTGGAAGCCCCAGGAGTTTAGGAGAAAAGAAAGAGCCCAGGAAAAGAGAAAGGCCGTATTGCTGAACGCCACACCCTTGCCGCACCTATTAACTAGGGGCTAACGAAAGAAAGGGTGTCGGAATATGATGGAGAAGGCCGGTCGACAGTGACGTCGTGGGCGACGCCGGGTTGTGAGCGACCTTTCGAGCTTCCTCGAGTCCCTGAGTCTCTGTAGTGTCTCAGCTCCTGGATGTCCTCCCTTAAAGGAGAGGAACAATGCGCGCCGACTAGACTAGTCTCTTAGTTTCTTCGCCAGCGCAGACAAATACGGTTTCAGTCCAAAAAACTACCATTCCCAGAAGACAGCGGGACGTTCCTTGCTGCATCTCTATTGGTTTGCGTTTGTTACTCCCAGCCAATAGAAAGTGAACTTCTTGACAAGTGCCAAAATGGCGATGCCTACGACCTAGAAGTGGATTGTGCGGTAGGCTTAAATTTGGGGAGGTGGTGGATGAAAAGGAAATTGGGAGGTATAGTTACAGGGCTGGAGAAGGTGGAGGAAATGAGGGAGCAAATCTGGACTTGGAGTAGTGGTGACCGAAGGACGCATTTAGAGCTAAGGGCGTAATTAGGCAACGAGGACTGGCTTAACTCCTTGATGCCCTCTTTACTCTATTAGTCCCTTTGATATTTATTTATTTGAGAGACAAAGTTTTGTCCTTGTTGCCCAGGCTGGAGTGCAATGGCGCGATCTCGGCCCACCCCATCAACCTCCGCCTCCCGGGTTCAAGCGATTCTCCTGCTTCAGCCTCCCGAGTAGCTGGGATTACAGGCATGCGCCACCAAGCCCGGCTAATTTCGTATTTTTAGTAGAGACGAGGTTTCTCCATGTTGGTCAGACTGATCTCAAACTCCCGACCTCAGGTGATCCGCCCGCCTTGGCCTCCCAAAGTGCTGGGATTACAGGTGCGAGCCACTGCGCTCGGCCTATACTTTCTTCTTAGTGCCCCAGTTTAAGGAAGGGCGGTTCAGGAGGAGAAAGCCTGACAGGATCTTACCTTATCTCTTTAGCTCTTTTTCTTTCAAATTCCGCTGCCTAGCTTAAATCTTACCGCATCTTCTTTTTTTTTGTTTGTTTGTTTTTTGTTTTGAGGCGGAGTCTCGCTCTGCCGCCCAGGCTGGGGTGCAGTGGCCGGATCTCAGCTCACTGCAAGCTCCACCTCCCGGGTTTACGCCATTCTCCTGCCTCAGCCTCCCGAGTAGCTGGGACTACAGGCGCCCGCCACCGCGCCCGGCTAAGTTTTGTATTTTTAGTAGAGACGGGGTTTCACCGTGTTAGTCAGGATGGTCTCGATCTCCTGATCTCGTGATCCGCCCATCTCGGCCTCCCAAAGTGCTGGGATTACAGGCTTGAGCCACCGCGCCCGGCCACCGCATCTTCTTTCTATTTAATTCTGCCTTCCCCGGTTCTCCTTCGAACATCGTGTCCTTTTCTTTTTTTTTTTTTTTTTTGAGACAGAGTCTCGCTCTGTCGCCCAGGCTGGAGTGCTGTGGCCGGATCTCAGCTCACTGCAAGCTCCGCCTCCCGGGTTCCCGCCATTTTCCTGCCTCAGCCTCCCGAGTAGCTGGGACTACAGGCGCCCGCCACCTCGCCCGGCTAGTTTTTTGTATTTTTTAGTAGAGACGGGGTTTCACCGTGTTAGCCAGGATGGTCTCGATCTCCTGACCTCGTGATCCGCCCGTCTCGGCCTCCCAAAGTGCTGGGATTACAGGCTTGAGCCACCACGCCCGGCCGTGTCCTTTTCTTTAGATCCACTTCTTTCACCTCAAAGTTGGCCGTCACAGCTGCCACCTGCTCAGAGTGAAATCATGAAGGTGGTCAACCTGAAGCAAGCCATTTTGCAAGCCTGGAAGGAACGTTGGAGTGACTACCAGTGGGCAATCAACATGAAGAAATTCTTTCCTAAAGGAGCCACCTGGGACATTCTCAACCTGGCAGGTCTCAAGTGAACTGGGAAAGAAAGATGGGAGGGATAAACCCAGAGAAGTTGTAATCACTCAATCGTGTTTTGTTATTCCTCTTGCAGATGCATTACTAGAGCAGGCCATGATTGGACCATCCCCCAATCCTCTCATCTTGTCCTACCTGAAGTATGCCATTAGTTCCCAGGTAAGCTCCCCCAAAACCCCCACCAAGAAGTGAGAGTTTTGGGGATAAAAAACTTGAAGTGCATTTGGACCCCAGTGATTCATGACTGTAATCCCAGCATTGTGGGAGGCTGAAGCAGGCAGATTGCTTGAGCCCAGGAGTTTGAGACCAGCCTGGGTAACATGGCAAAACCCAGTCTCTACCCCAAAATACAAAGAATTAGCCCTTCGTGGTGGTGCCCCTGTAGTCCCAGCTACTTGGAAGGCTGAGGTGGGAGGATCACCTAAGCCCTGGGAGGTCAAGGCTACAGTGAGCCATGATCCTGCCACTGCACTCCAGCCAGAGCAACAGAGTGAGACCCTGTCTCAGGAAACAAACAAAACAAAATTTGGGGTGCAGTTTTACAATTGTCAGCTTACGCTTTCTAGATGAATTTGTTTGAACAGATCATTTCACTGAGTTTCAGTGTTCTCATAAAAATAATAATACTTCATTTGTTGTGATGAATATTACATTCACTTATTCTACTGGGAGTAGTAGCAGGTAGCACAGGCCTGTGGCCCCGCCTACTCAGAAAGCGGAGGTGGGAGGATTGCTTGAGCCCAGAAGTTCGAGGCTACAGTGAGCACTGATTGTGCCACTGCACTCCAGCCTGGGCAACAGAACAAGACTCCATCTCTTAAAAACAACAACCACCAAAAGAGAAATAGGATTACATTCACTTGTTCTATCAACAAATACTCATGAATTTTTTTTTTTTTTTTTTTTTGAGACGGAGTCTTGCTCTGTCGCCCAGGCTGGAGTGTAGTGGCCGGATCTCAGCTCACTGCAAGCTCCGCCTCCCGGGTTCCCGCCATTCTCTTGCCTCAGCCTCCCGGGTAGCTGGGACTACAGGCGCCCGCCACCTCGCCCGGCTAGTTTTTTGTCTTTTTTGGTAGAGACGGGGTTTCACCATGTTAGCCAGGATGGTCTTGATCTCCTGACCTCGTGATCTGCCCATCTCGGCCTCCCAAAGTGCTGGGATTACAGGCTTGAGCCACTGCGCCCGGCCTTTTTTTTTTTTTTTTTTGAGATGGAGTCTCGCTCTGTCACCCGGACTGGAGTGCAGTGGTGCGATCTTGGCTCACTGCAAGCTCCGCCTCCTGGGTTCTCCTGCCTCAGACTCCCGAGTAGCTGGGACTACAGGCGCCTGCCACCACGCCCGGCTGATTTTTTGTATTTTTTTTTTTTTAGTAGAGACAGGGTTTCACCGTGTTAGCCAGGATGGTCTCGATCTCCTGACCTCATGATCTGCCCACCTCAGCCTTCCAAAGTGCTGGGATTACAGGTGTGAGCTACCGCGCCCGGCCTCATGAATGCTTTTATGTGCCAGACAGTGCTAGCCCCTGGGGACATAGCTGTGAATAAGATCTGATGCCAGTACACAGAGAATTTAGTGGGTAATATAGACATGTAAATAAGCAGTCACTAGATGGGTTTATGATAAAGGTTAGAATAGAGTACGGATGCTCCTCAACTTACAATGGGGTGATGTGCTGATATACCACTCATAAGTTGAAAATGTACTTAATACACATAACTTGCCAAAGGTCATCTACCTACCACTTTTTTGAGACAGAGTCTTGCTCTATCACCCAGGCTGGAGTGCAATGGTGTGACCTCAGCTCACTGCAACCTCTGTCTCCTGAGTTCAGGTGATTCTCCTGCCTCAGCCTCCCGAGTAGCTGGGACTGCAGGTACCTGCCACCATGCCTGGCTAATTTTTATATTTTTAGTAGAGACAGGGTTTCATTATATTGGCTAGGCTGGTCTCGAACTCCTGACCTTGTGATCTGCCCACCTTGGCCTCCCAAATTGCTGGGATTGCAGGTGTGAGCCACCATGCCCGGCCATCTACCTACCTTAAATGTGCTCAGAACACTCTAGCTTACAGTTGGGAAAAATCATCAAACACAAAGCCTGTTTGTTTATTGAGATGGAGTTTCACTCTTGTTGCCCAGGCTGCAGTGCAATGGCTTGATCTCGGCTCACTGCAACCTCCACCTCCCAGGTTCAAGCTATTCTCCTACCTCAGCCTCCTGAGTAGCTGGAATTACAGGTGCCCACCACTACACCTGGATAATTTTTGTATTTTTAGTAGAGATGGGGTTTTACTGTTTTGGCCAGCCTGGTCTCGAACTCTTGACTTCAGGTGATCCACCTGCCTTGACTTCCCAGTGTTGGGATTACAGGCATGAGCCACTGCGCCTGTCCTTATTTTTTATTGGTTGATTGATTAATTGATTGAGGCAGAGTCTTGCTCCATCGCCAGGCTAGAGTGCAGTGTGGTGCGATCTTGGCTTACTGCAACCTCCGCCTCCCAGATTCAAGTGATTCTCCTGCCTCAGCCTCCCAAGTAGCTGGGAATACAGGCGCATACCACTACGTTCCGCTAATTTTATACGTTTTTTTTTTTTTTTTGAGACGGAGTCTTGCTCTGTGCCCCAGGCTGGAGTGCAGTGGCGGGATCTCAGCTCACTGCAAGCTCCGCCCCGCCGGGTTCACGCCATTCTCCTGCCTCAGCCTCCCGAGTAGCTGGGACTACAGGCGCACGCCACCTCGCCCGGCTAATTTTTCTTGTATTTTTCGTAGAGACGGGGTTTCACCGTGTTAGCCAGGATGGTCTCGATCTCCTGACCTCGTGATCCGCCCGCCTCGGCCTCCCAAAGTGCTGGGATTACAGGCTTGAGCCACCGCGCCCGGCCTAATTTTATACTTTTAGTAGAGACTGGGTTTCTCCATGTTGGTCAGGCTGGTCTCGAACTCCTGACCTCAGGTGATTCACCCTCCTTGGCCTCCCAAAGTGCTGAGATTATAGGCGTGAGCCACCACGCCCAGCCAGAAGTGCAGATTTCTTTCTTTTTTTTTTTTTTTGAGACGGAGTCTCGCTCTGTTGCCCAGGCTGGAGTGCAGTGGCCAGATCTCAGCTCACTGCAAGCTCCGCCTCCTGGGTTTACACCATTCTCCTGCCTCAGCCTCCCGAGTAGCTGGGACCACAGGTGCCAGCCACCTCGCCCTGCTAGTTTGGTTTTTTTTTTTTTTTTTTTTTTTTTTTTGAGACGTAGTCTCGCTGTGTCTCCCAGGCTGGAGTGCAGTGGCGTGATCTCGGCTCACTGCAAGCTCCACCTCCCGGGTTCATGCCATTCTCCCGCCTCAGCCTCCCGAGTAGCTGAGACTACAGGCGCCCGCCACCACGCCCGGCTAGTTTTTTTTTTTGTATTTTTAGTAGAGACGGGGTTTCACCGTGTTAGCCAGGATAGTCTCGATCTCCTGACCTCGTGATCCACCCGCCTCGGCCTCCCAAAGTGCTGGGATTACAGGCTTGAGCCACCGCGCCTGGCCAGTTTTTTGTATTTTTTAGTAGAGATGGGGTTTCACTGTGTGAGCCAGGATGGTCTCGATCTCCTGACCTCATGATCCCCCCATCTCAGCCTCCCAAAGTGCTAGGATTACAGGCTTGAGCCACCGCGCCTGGCCCAAGAAGTGCAGATTTCTTATGTGCATATATTGCATCGTGGTGAAATCTGAGCTTTTAGTATACCTATCACCCCAATAGTGAATGTTGTACCCAATAAGTAATTTTTCAACCCTCACCCCACTCCCACCTTCTATATTCTCCAGTGTCTATTAGTTCACTCTGTATGTGCACCCATTGTGTAGCTCCCATTTATCAGTGAGAATATGTGGTATTTGACTTTCTTTTTTTTATTGAGATGGAGTCTCCCAGGCTGGAGTGCAATGGCGTGATCTCAGCTCACTGCAACCTCCTTGACTTTCTATCTCTGAGTTATTTCACTGAGGATAATGGCCTACATGTATGAGCACTTGAAGTACAATTTCTACTGAATGTGTGTCTCATATTTTTTTTTGAGACAAGGTCTTACTGTGTCACCCAGGGTGGAGTGCGGTGGCGTGATCTCTCCTCACTGCGACCTCCACCTCCTGGGCTCAAGTGATTCTGCTGCTTCGGTCTCCCAGGTAGCTGGGACCACAAGCATGCATCACCATACCCAGCTAATTTTTATAGTTTTAGTAGAGATGGGGTTTTACCATGTTGGCCAGGCTGGTCTCGAACTCCTGACCTCAGGTGATCCGCTCACCTTGGCCTCCAACAGTGTTGGGATTATAGGCATCAGCCTGTAATTTAGGTTGTGCCTGACCTAAATGCGTATCTCTCTCTCTTTTTTTTTTTTTTTTGAGATGGAGTTTCACTGTTGTCCCCCAGGCTGGAGTGCAGTGGCACGATCTCGGCTCACTGCAACCTCTGTCTCCTGGGCTCAAGCAGTTCTCCTGCCTTAGCCTCCTGAGTAGCTGGGATTACAGGCGTGCACCACCACACCTAGCTAATTTTTGTATTTTCAGTAGAGACAGTGTTTCACCATGTTGGCCAGACTGGTCTGGAACTCCTGACCTCAAGTGATCCATCTGCCTCAGCCTTCCAAAGTGCTGGGATTACAGGCTTGAGCCACCATGCCCAGCTTGAACATGAATCTTTTTTACACCATCATAAAGTCGAAAAATTAAGGCGGGGCACGGTGGCTCACGCCTGTAATCCCAGCAGTTTGTGAGGCCGAGGTGGGCGGATCACCAGGCCAGGAGATTGAGACCCTCCTGGACAACATGGTGAAACCCTGTCTCTACTAAAAATACAAAAATTAGCTGGGCATTGTGGTGAGTGCCTGTAATCCCAGCTACTTGGGAGGCTCAGGCAGGAGAATCGCTTGAACCAGGGAGTCAGAGGTTGCAGTAAGCCAAGATTGTGCCACTGCACTCCAGTCTGATGACAGAGCGAGACTCCGTCTCAAAAAATAAAATAAGATAAAATAAATAAAAAAAATAAAGTCGAAAAATTGTAAGATGAACCATTGTTAAGTTGGGACTGTCCTTGCTTTGGGAATACATGGGAAAGGCACCCAGTCCAGTCTGAACAATCAAGGAAGGCTTTGTGGAGGAAGTGATATTTAAACCAAGACCTGAATGTT